CCGTGAGAGGCACGTCCCGCCCGGGGGGGAGGGGGGGACAGCTGTTCAATCTGTGTTTACTTATGGTTTATCACAAACTGAACACGTAGCTAAAGACACAAAGTTCATGATTCCTCCTGGAAGGAGCGGCCACCACAGCTGGAGGGTGGGGGCCGGGCAGCTGGGGCTCACCCGCGGGACAAAAGCCCACCTTCCCCAAGGACACCGTCCCTTTACCGCCTCACCCCGCCCTTCCCGCAGCCGCAGCAGAGGCGCTTCCTCGCGTCTAACACGTTGCTGACACCCACTTCCAAGTACGTAGAGGCTCTGCGGCCTCCCTTAGCTGCCCCTCTCCGGGTCTATACTGACGGCTTCTCTCTACGTCTACATACTATACTCATCTGAGAAGTCACTTCAAAAACATGGGACCAAAAAGACTCACCTCATTTAGAGACGGAACGCACATCCGTCCGGCCCACGTACATCAGAGCCACCCCCCACCCGCCAGCCCGTTCACAACTGTGGGCTCGCCCCACAGCCACACGCCAGCAGCCCCGACGTCCTGACCTCCCGAACTACCCGCCAGAGGCCCCGGGCACCCCCAGCGGGCTCGGCACCTGCTCCGCACCCGCCCCCTGCACTCCCTGACCCGGTAAACAGCAGCACCCTGCTGGCAAAGCCGGGCTGTGCCTCAGTGGCCCAAAGGGCTCAGTCACCAAGGCCTGCAGACTACACGCTGTGTGCGTCAGAGCCTGCGTGTCCTCTCCATTGTTCAAGTGACGGTCACTTCTCCTCCTTCCTGTCCCATCAGATTCCCATGCCCCGCCCCCGGTCTCCTTGGCTGGCAGAACAATCTTTCCAAAACAGACTGTCCATGTCGCCCCTCCCCCGCTACAGCATCTCAGAGCCGCCCAGCACCTGCAGGACACAGTTCAAGTCCACACGCAGGACACGCAGCTACTTCAGGAAGCAGGCCTGCCGCCTCTGATACCCAGTTGGCCGAGTGTGTCGCACCTGGGCTGAGTCCGGCAGAGGCGCAGGGCCACCGGAACACCCACTCGCCTCTGGGGTCCACCCTGCCCGTCCCCCTGGGCGGGGCCAGGACCGCCTTCAGGAGCCCACGAACCCCACCGCCAGACCCCCGCATGGCCTCTAACGTTTACTCCACGGCACCTGACGGAGAATGTTCGCCGGTCCCTGGTCTAGCATTATGAGCGGGAAAACCCGGGTGACCCAACAATTCAGTCCCCATTCTAGGATCCACTGACCTGTACAGAGACAGCCACAAATAATAACGATGATAATGACAATAATAATGATAATAAGCATTCTGAAACACCACACTGAAAAAAAATCCTTAAAGGAATTCTCCACCTGGTGAAGAAATTAACAAAAATACAGAAATCAAGTGTAAGGAAGGCACGGCTTACGAGCAGCAGCAAACAATGAACTCTTGAAAATTTAGAGTTGAGTTTAAATGATTGTCCTTAATTAACGTAGTAAGAAAATAATCAAATGTGGAAAACATAGTGCCTTCACGAACAGATTCACATCTTTGAATTATGAGTATTACTGATTTAAAAATGCAGTTTGTGTTGATAAAAACCTGGGAGAATAAGCCCATTCACTTTCGCAGCTTCACAGGAGGAAAGGTCACGTGGACAATATGCCAGCGAGGACAATGCTACAGTGACGAAGAGACGGGAATGAGTAACCACAGGGGCCAGAGGAGAAGGACGAAGGGAAAGGAAGTGGCAAAAACACCCGTTTTCCCCAAACAGAGTATGTCCCGCATGTGGGGAGTCTGTCACCCGGGCTCGTCCCTTAGTGACAGTAAATGTTGGGCGGCACTTCAGACGCGTCACTGAGCTGGGAAACGGCAGTGGGCAGGCTGCCCGCTCTGCAGGGGTGAGGCGGGCAGCGGTGAGGCCACAGCCCCTGAGGAGGCGTGTCTGGGTCTCAGAGCGCTGGGCGTTCGCCCAGAGGAAACGGCGCATGTGGAATGAGGGTCCGTCCCATCCTGCACAGGACAGACCCGCGGTCCCAGGACAGCCCCAAGAAGCCCAGCACCAGCGCCCGGGAACTCGGATGAAGGCCCCGCTGGTCTTCGCGGAGGCGACATCAGCAGTAGCAAGAGCGCCCTTATGGGGCACCGACTGTGTGCCAAGCGCTCTCCAGACCCCGCCTCACGGATGCAGCTCCATGACGTCCATCAGAGGGGAGGGGAGGAGCCGCCTTTCCAGCCACAGTTAGCAAGGGGCCTGGTCAGGACGTGCGCCCTGTTCACCTGATTCTGATCTACGGCCTCGCCTGCTGGGAAACAGCAGCTTCCAGCAGACGCTCTGGCCGCGGGAACGGCGGCAGTGAGCAGCCGGGGTCAAGGTGGGAGGGCAGGTTAGGCCCAGAGGGCAGTGTCTGATGTCCCTTCCTCTGGCGAGAACTTGCTAGCAGGAACCATCGCTCAACACGGGCCCATCCCAAAGCTCACTCCTCTCTAAGCGGCGATAACACAAGCAAACCCGAACGATAAATCGGCTACCTGAGCGATGGCAGGAGGGGCGATCTGAGCTCTAAACAGCTCGTCCCGGACACTGTGAAGCTAGGTTTGCACTTTTCCCCCAGAACTGCCCCATTCAGAGCGGCTGACGCGATGGCACCCGCGGTCTGGGGTGTGGCCGGGCAGGTCACAGTAGAGCCTCTGCCCCAAAGCTGCTCCCGACAGCAGCAAAGAGCCTCACCCCCCGGGCTGCAGCTCCAAGACACTAGACATAGTCCCCTGTCCCTTCGCAACCCAGACTGCAAGTATCTGCCAAGGACCATGTGGTCCCACAACCACAGCACGGATGCCACAGGGGAGGGGGCCCCATAGCCACAGCGTGGATAATGCCATGGGGGAGGCGGTCCCACAGCCACGGCGTGGATAATGCCACGGGGGAGGGAGCCCCACAGCCACAGTGTGGATAAATGCCAAGGAAGAGGAAAAAGTGAAGTTTCCTGGGTGGGCTTCTTTCTATTCAGAGCCAGGCCCTCCCTGAATGTCTACATTCTTAATGTTCTGTATCTTTTCGTTCGATGCTGACATCTGACATACACTGCAGGCTGGCATAGTTTTCTATTTATGAGCATTTGCTGTCTCCCCAGTTAGAGTGTGAGCCCCCTGAAGTCCAGGACCTCGTCTCTCCAGACCTCACAGTGTCTCCCACAATGTAGGTGCTCAGGAAACATTTGCTAGAAATTATCAAAATGTTATACCCTCGGCTAGCAATGGGCCGATAGCGAGAAGAGGCATTCTGTCCACGTGCAAAATCGTTCGAGTCCTGCGCTAAAAACCACACACAATGACTTAGCTCATCCCCTTGGCCTGAGTTTATCCCAACCAGGAGCGTGGCTAAATGAGGAGGAAAGACCCGCTTGGTCCTTATTCTTCCCGCTGCTGCAGTTAACCAGGAACAGGACACGGGCGCAGGCTCAGCCTGACGCATCGGCGCAGCCTGAGGAACGCGCTGCACAGCAGACAGAGCAAAGACAATGGGCTCGGCCTCTGGACTTTCAGCAGGGACGTCACGGACGTGATGTGAGCACCGGAGGAGCCGGTGCCACAGGGTCAGGCAGAAGTGGACTGTCCTGCGAGTCTGGAGAAGGGGCTGCGTTAAGTCTGAGCAATGCCAGGGGCTTATCTGACGAGCCTGGGCCGCCCCCAAACACCCTGCAGACCCTCGTTGTCTCACGGTCTTAGAATGCTTGCACTCTTTCCCCTGAAGACATGAGAGGCTGACAGGCTGGCGTTCACCTGGCCTGCTGATGCAGGACAGGAGGGAGGCGGGTCTGAGGGGGCCTTCCGTGCCTGAACGCCTGGCAAAGTGCAGGACGGGACAGTGGGGGGCGTTGAGGAAGCAGGGTGCATAACCACCGCCCACCACAAGCCCCATCTTGCTGACCTTGCAGGTCAGGGCGTTACGTTGGAAGGGAACAGAAATTGAGAGCAAGTCTTAGAAATACACCTTGAAGACACGGTGGAGCCACAGCGTTACAAGCTAGTACTCTTAGCTGGTTTTATTTCCAGCTCTTTGACTGCTTGGTGATGATTAAACCTCCCAGGGGGCTGTGGGAAGGGAAGAGCATGTGTAAAGGTCCAGTGGTAGAGAAGGCAAAGTGGGGCTGGGAAGCAGAGATACTCAGAGGGGCTGGAGCTCGGGTTATGGGGGGGGGGGGCGGGCAGGGAGAAAGAGGTGAAAACTGACAGATGCGCAGGGCAAATCGGGAAGAGCCTCGTTAAAGAGCGTTCCCTTCCACGTAAGGGCAGCAGGAAGTCACCGAGACCCTGCACACAGACACTGACAGAAGCGGTCAGATCCGCGCTTCAGAAGTCTTGTTTCACTTCTGGTGCAGAGAGCGCACTGACGGGAGGAGGGGCTGCAAGCGCGGTGGGAAGGCTCCCACGACAACCCAGCGGGCGGGGGGGCCGTCCAGGCAACGAGGCTGGGCAGGAGCGGCACGTCTAATTGGTAGTCAGCAGGTACGACCACAGGGACTCGGCACCAGACCGCACAGCGGCGTGAGAGGGAGGCGGCAGTCAAGGCTGACCTGGGGACCCCGCGCGGTGCCCCGCCCAGGGAAGGCGTAGAGGGGAACGTGATTCGGTCTGGAAGGGGCTGTGCCGGGGTGCCCACGGGCAGCTGCCCGAAGAGCAGAGGTAAGAACTTTACCAGCATTAACGGAAACGCGCTCAACGGTACACGGCCCGGAGTGGAAATCGTGGGCAGTGACGACATTACTCAGGGGAACGTATATTCAACCACAAGGGCAAGGGTCTGGAGAGGTCACCAGACCTGAACGCCCTCCCATCGCGGCTGGCACCGAACCGCTTTCGGAGCGTGTTTCATCCTGAGCCCGGGAACAGGGCTGTCTTGACATGTAAGCGCCATGCGGCTCATCCCGATAAGAAAAGTGAGCCGCACGTGGCCGGCGGGACCCAGTCCCACGGCAGCCTCAGCACCAGCCCCGGTGCCCTCAACGCGCACCTGTGGACAAGGCTTCCTCCCGAACCTCGTTCTCTCCAGGCTGGCGAATGTTCCAGGGCGTCCTGGGAAGCAGCGCAACCTCGTCGGGGGACGCGAGCCTCAGCATGTCCATGTGGCTCCCCTGGGAGCCGTACCGCGGGATGAAGCAGGCCTTCCCTTGCTGGAAAATGTCCCTGATGATCTCCTCGGTCTCCACCTCGTCTTGCATGCTCAGAAAGACGGAAATTCTTTTCGACTTCTGATACTGACTGTGGGCAAGCACCTAAATGGGGAATATGACAATTACCCTTTTTGCTCCAAGATTACACTTGTAAAATCTAGCGGCTCCCCCTTCTCTCTCAGCTTGCACTTCTCCAGCTTCTTCAACTACCCAAACCCAAGGCCACAGAAGAAAGCAGGGTGACGGTGGTGGTCAGACAGTACTGCGTCCTGAAGCCTAGTGCTTGGCTCTGAGCTGGCAGCCCCCTCTGTGACGGCTTCCTGCCCCTGTGGCCCTACTCTGGGACGGAAAGTAGTCCATCCTGCTGTCTGTATGGATAATTCTAGGCTCGGCCTCCAGCCACCTAATGCGGCCACTTCCGGTCATCCCAAGCCTCTGCCTTGAGTTAACTCTGAACCTTGGCTCCCACGACTGCTTGGACAGTCAGGCTTCCCCCCTCCGAAATTCTCCCCATTCAAGCCAACTCAAGCCCTCGCTTCTCCTGACTTCTGCAGAGCACTTACAACGCTTAGTTCACGTGCAACCTAACACACCCTGTAATTCTCTCAGCTCTGTTCACCTCTGTCCCATCACCTACAACTCTTCTGTTCAAATGGGTGTTGGGGCGCCTGGGGGCTCAGTCGGTTAAGCGTCCAACTTTGGCTCAGGTCATGATCTCATGGTTCATGAGTTTGAGCCCCATGTCGGGCTCTGTGCTGACAGCTCAGAGCCTGGAGCTGCTTCAGATTCTGTGTCTTCCTCTCTCTCTGCCCCTCCCCTGCTCACACTGTCTCTCTCTCAAAAATAAACATAAAAAATTAAAAAAAAAAAAGAGAGAAATAAGTACAGAAAGTCGAGTTATTCCTAACAGAAAGGAGCACACAGAAATTCAGTACAGGGAGCACAGCAGACCAGCGTCAAGGAAGGAACTTCACTCCATCTCCCTGAGAAGACATGAAGCTGTTATGAGGCCAGAAATAAGGCAAAGCAAAGCAAAACAAAACAAAACAAACAGAAAAATGTGGAACCCAGATCACAGGCAGACCTGAGGCTCTGGCAAGCAAGTACTTTCTGAGAAAGTTAAAGTCTATCGTGTTCTCTTTAAAGAAAATATAAAACATCAAGAGCTGAATAAGCAGAAATGAACATCGTTTAAAATTCAGTGTGAGACTGTGCACACACATTTATCTTTCCTACTTCCTAAAATCTCATTTATAGGACAGTAAAGAAGCACAAAAAGAGAAAGCCTTTATAGCACTGAGAACAAGAGTGACTAGACTAATTTCTGTGAGACAGAGCAGATGGGCACTATTTGGACAAACAGCAGCAGACACAGCACTCAGAGGACGTGGCCGTCCTGTGGTCAGGCAGGACCCATTCCTCCCAAAGTGACCACAAAAGGCAAGGAAGGGCCCCAGGAGCTGTCACACCCTCATTCATAAATACGCACCCATAATAAAGTTTCAGCAAACATCTTAGGAAGCTAAAACACAAAACAGAAGGGTGTGGGGGTGGGGGTGGGGAGGCAGAGATCATCCAGTAGGAAACTGAGATAGTTTAGAGAAAAGGGAATTTTAAAATTCTAATTAGTTCTCTTAGACAAATTCAAGAAGATAGTTACATCTATCAAATAACAACAGGCTGCTATGGAAAGAAAACAATCAGAGAATTAAGAAATAATACTTGAAAATTAGAATTAAGAACACCAAAATTTAAAAATTCAGGAGAGGGGCGCCTGGGTGGCTGAGTAGGTTAAGTGTCCAATTCTTGGTTTCGACTCAGGTCATGATCTCACGGTTCGTGAGTTCAAGTGCCACATCAGCACAGAGCCTGTTGGGTTTCTCTCTCCCTTTCTCTCTGCCTCTCCCAGACTCTTCACTCTCTCTCTTTCTCAAAAAAAAAAAAAAGCATTTAAAATAAAATTCAGGAGAAAGTCTTCAAGTGGGAAAAAAAAAAGAAATAGGGAAAGTAAAAGAAAAAACTGTTAAGAAACACAGAAAATTGATATATGATTTTTACTATTTGATTAACAGTAATTGTAGACAAACACAAAAGAAAAGAGACAATCTAAGCCATAAAAGATAAAGATACCAGTCTCCAGAATGAATGGAGGTCATGAGTGCTGAGCAGAACAAGGAAAAACATATATATTTTTTTTAATTTTTAATGTTTTCTTTATTTCCGAGAGAGACAGAGACAGCGTGAGCAGGGGAGGGTCAGAGAGAGAGAAAGACACAGAATCCGAAGTAGACTCCAGGCTCTGAGCTAGCTGTCAGCACAGAGCCCGACGCAGGGCTCGAACCCACGAACCGTGAGATCATGACCTGAGCCGAAGTCAGATGCTTAACCGACTGAGCCACCCAGGTGCCCCAAGGAAAAATATTTTTAAACTTGAAATTGAAACTGTCAATCAAATATGAGGGCAAAGACATTATATAATGTATAAAGTCTTTAAAAGTTTACTTCCATAGATATTTTCTAAAAAAAAATTTCTTGAGAATATACTCTAATAAGATGGAAAGAAAGAAAAAGAATGGAAGGAAGGAAGGAAGGAAGAAAGGAAGGAAGGAAGGAAGGAAGGAAGGAAGGAAGGAAGGAAGGAAGGAAGGAAGGAAGGAAAAAAATCCAATAAGAAGACATTGGGCTCAAGCAACAGAACCTAACTCAGAAGTAGGGTAAGAGCAACGTCAAGGCTGTGCAACGGGCTAGACCAGAGGGAGCAGGGGGCTACAGAGTGCTTTCAACAAGAAAATGGATTTATTTTAACAGAAAAATTGAAGAAGAATCTACTGATAAGATAAAGGCATATTGCTGTTTTGCCAGAAAGGAAAATTAAAGGCAATCAAAAAGTCCTTGAAAAAAACAGAGGTAAATTACAAATGCATACTCCAAATAGGAACAGACTAAAGCATGTCATGATTTTGAGCAATTTTAGAGCATAACAAAAGAGAATTTGGTAATGATACTTGAAACATTCTCCACCTAGCCACACACATCTCATGACTGAATTTTGTATCCTTTTCATACAATCATACAACTTGGTTCTACAGTGAATACTATCTATATAACCAAAATATCATAAATACTATTTACTTAAAGTCCAAATTTGGCAGTCAGCCACAGAACATGCTCAAGACTCACTGTAATTATAAAACAGAATACAAATATTGTAAAACTTGACAATTTAACTAGATGATACAGGAGTCAGAAATTAGCAGATACAGGGTCCCTGGGTACCCTCAGCTGGTTGGGCATACAACTCTTGATTTCAGCTCAGGTCATGATCCCAGGGACATGGGATCCAGCCCCACGTCATATTCCACACTAAGTGTGGGGCCTGCTTAGGATTCTCACTCCCTCCCGCCTCTGCCCCTGTCCCCAATTTGCACTCTCTCACTCTCTTTCTCTCTTCAAAACAAAAGAGAAAGAAAGAAGAAAAGAAATAAAGAAAGGAAGGAAGGAAGGAAGGAAGGAAGGAAGGAAGGAAGGAAGGAGGAAAGTGGCAGATGGAACAGAAGACAAAGTGAGTACAGGGCACGAATTTCCTCATCTTATTTTGTTGAGAAGTCAAGATAAGGCATAAGGTTGAAATTCTTTATCATACATTGCTTTCTGATAAATTTCTAAATAATAAAAAAAGGTGCTGTGTCATTTAATAAGTATGCCTTTTAAAAGAAAATTATTGAGAGAAGGCATCATTTAATACCTTTACTGAACATGCACTAGAGCTGAACACTGTTCTGATCACAGCACGTTGATGTTTCTGGCCATGACCCACTGGTTGGTCACAAAATCAACAGCAGGTTACAATCAGCACTTCTAAATAAAACAGCTACAGTACAGTTCACTGTATAGAGTGAGCATTGTGAAACACTGGCTGTGAAACACTTCACATATGTGTGTATTTGTAGGCCGTGAAATGTATTTATTACTGAGGGTCCTGGTCTGCTTTTCAACTCTTCTCTCTTTCGATGCCGGCTGCCAGCGGTCACCACATTCTGTCGCGGTTCTGGGTCTGTATTGCTGTTCCCACCGGAACTTGTGAACTCCAACCTACAGGCAGACGACCTGATCTTGATTTTCCCCAAATTCGGTGCTGACTCCCAGGGGCCCCTGCTCAGGGACGTTGAGCCCTCAGCTCTGAATTCTGAAATCAGGGGTGACCGCCCTCCTTTTCAGGCGCTCCCTCACCTTTATCTCTTTATTCTCACCGCGCCGACTCCTGTCCCCCAAACTGCTGCCGCCGAGCTGTCCCTAAAGCTCTCTGGAGCCTGTCGTGCCCTCCTGACCTCGGGGCGGTGCGTCCCAGGGTGCGGGGCCACCCCTGGGTGCACAGATGACGGAAACATAAAATCTCTAGGGGCGCCTGGGCGCGCTCAGTCGCTGGGGCCACGGACCCGACTTCCTGCGGCGGGGGGGTCAAGCCCTGTGAGAGGCCTGCGGGGGAGCCTCCTCTCCTCCCCCCGCCCTACCCCGGCTGGCACTCTCTGTCAGAATAAGTATTTAAAAATAAAGAAATAAATAGAATCTTTCAACAAACAAAACCCCCAAACATGGGAAGCACTGAATGCGCGCGTCGGACCAGCGGCGGGGGTGGAGGGTGGGGGAGACCTGGTCTGACCCCGGGGTCCCGCCCCGCCCACCCCGGGGCAGCGCGCGGGAACTTGGCACCGGGCGCCGGTCGGAAGCGGCCGCGCGCCTCCCGGAAGCGACTGGCGTCTCGCTGCGCGTCTCCGCTCCCGGGCACTCGCTCCGCAGCCGCCGCCCAGCCCGCCGGAACTCCCCGCTCCCACCCTGCTCTCCCCTCCACCCTCGCCCTCCTCAGCCCGGGACCCCCTCAACGAGCTGAACCTTCGGAGGGACGTGCGCGCGCCCGGGGCGTCCCGGGGGCACGTGAGGGGGACGTGCGCGCGCCCGGGCGCAGAGCCGCCAACGCAGAGGCGCAGGGCCGTTCTGAGTGAGGCGGTCCGCCGTGTGGTCCCCGCGATCTCGCACCTTCTGGGCCAAGAGGCGGGACTGACGCAGCCGCTCCTCGGCGCTCATCGCCCGCAGACGCTGCTTCAGCTCGGCCCGCAGGCTCCGCTTGGCGCTGCTCACGGCCGCCGCCGCCGCCATCTCTCGGGCCGGCCCCGCCCCTTTGCTCGTCCCCGCTTCCGGGTGGTCGGAGCCCCGCCCCCAGCGCGCCTCCCGCCCGGGATCGAGCTCTGCGCTGCCAGGGGGAGGGTCCGGGCTCGGCGGGGACCCGTAGGGGTGGCTCCGAGGTCTGCGGTTAGGGTCCGGGCACCACGCAGTCCAGGGCGGGGGCGAGAGTTCGGGCTCAGGGCCGCCCCGGGGGCGGATCGGTGCAGCCGAGGGCAAGGGGAGGATCTGGGCTCCGCGGGGACCCGGGGGCAGGGTCCGGGGCAGGGTCCGGGCTCGGTGCCGCCGAGGGGAGGGTCCGGGGCAGGGTCCGGGCTCGGTGCCGCCGAGGGGAGGGTCCGGGGCAGGGTCCGGGCTCGGTGCAGCCCGGGGGAGGGTCCGGGGCAGGGTCCGGGCTCGGTGCAGCCCGGGGGAGGGTCCGGGGCAGGGTCCGGGCTCGGTGCGGGCCGGGGGAGGGTCCGGGGGAGGGTCCAGGGGAGGGTCCGGGGCAGGGTCCGGGCTCGGTGCAGGCCGGGGGAGGGTCCGGGGCAGGGTCCGGGCTCGGTGCAGGCCCCCGGGAGGGAGGCTGCTGTCCCATCTCAGCGCGGCTCCGGGAAGGCGGCTCCTCCGCCCACCTTGGCCAAGAGCAAGTGGCCGCGTGGCCCTGGCTGCCCGCTCGGGCCGGCCCATCCCGGGCTCGGGGCCCATCCCGGGCTCGGGGAGGGGGCACAATCAGGTCCTAGCAGGAGCCTGGGTTCCTGTGAGGTCCCCTTGTGTTGTGGGGAGCTGTGTGGGGCCGAAAGGAGCGCCCAGGCGGGCTGATGAGCAGTAAATGGGATACCAGTCCTGCTGGTTAAAGGGAAAATGGCTTGATTTTTGGCAAAAGCACTTTACTGTTTGCCTGTGGGTCGGAGGAAGCCGGTTTATGACCGAGGGGTAGAACGGGCGTGGATGCGGCAGGTGGCTTTCCACACCAGGTCAGCGTGTTCAGTCTGGGGGATTCCGGGCCCAGAATAGGTTGCCGGGTAGGTTCCCGGCCCAGCAGTATTTTCCCTGGGACGCCTGGAACCTGCTCCTCCTGTGAGCGCGCTGTTGCTACAGGAGCAAGCACGCAGGAGGGGAGACCCGAGCCTTCTTGGCTGGCCGAGCACTTAGCTGCAGTGGGAGGAGAGGAGAGAGTCATTCCAGGGAGTACGGAGGTGTGGAGAGGCTCTTGCCTTCAGGTGTGCCCCTCACACATTGACACCAATGGTCCCTTGAAAAGGCGAGAGGGTTAATTTAATGGATAAAGAGACTGAATTGTAAAATAATTGGATGTTTAGAGAAATTTTAGTAATTCGTATATTAATCAACTTCACTAAAGTTCATATGGAAAAACAGGCGTTCAAGAATAGCAGAAAGGGGCGCCTGGGTGGTTCAGTGAGTTAGGCAACCAGCTCTAGAGCTCAGCCTAAATCATGATCTCAGGGTTGTGAGTTCAAGCCCCACAATGGGCCCCATGCTGGGCGTGAAGCCCACTTAGAAAGAAATGAATAGAACAGAATAGAATAAAATAGCTAAGAAAACAGAGACAATGAAAGGCCCCTGGGGAACTGGCCCTTCCTAACCTTGAAGGATACTATAACCCTCTATAATTAAAACAGTATGGTATGAGGACACAATAGAACACACAATGGAAATGACCTGAAGCCATATGGAGATTTAGGGTATGGCAAAGATGATATCTCAAATCACTGGGGACAAGCATGATCTTAGGAAATGGTGCTGGGACAACTGGACAGCCATGTTTTAAAAGATAAAATTATGTCCACACATCACACCATACGTAAGAAAAAACCTTGCATGGAGTAAGCACCAGGTGTAGAAACTGAGACTATACCAGTAGCAGAAGAGAGAACAATTCTTCCTTAACCTCAAGGTAGGGAAACACATCCTCAGTATGACTCAAGATCCAAAGGCAATAAAAGAAAAGATGGATTCATAACTACATATAAGTTTTTTTATAATTATGCATAGCATAAAAAGCCATACACAAAATTAAAAGACAACTGACAAACTGAGAGAAGATACTTGCAATATAAACTACAGACAAAGGGCTAATTTCTCTTAATTAAAAAAAAAAAAAGTTGGGTTACAGGGCAGGTAGGCAAGAAAAACAAATAACAGGCATCCAGACAGCCGACTGTCTGAAAACTTAACTACTAATAGCCTACCATTGATGGAAGCCTTACAGATAACATGCACAGTTGATGTATATATTATATAGTACATTCTTACAATAAAGTAAGTTAGAGAAAAGAATGTTATTAAAATCATAAGAGAAAATACATTTATCATGTATGTATAATATTATTAGATATATAACAAGATACAAGGTATACATAATAAAAATATATATCTCCTATTGATTCATTTTCTCTAGAGAACCCTGACTAATACAGATTTTTATAATAAACAGTCTGAAATTTAAAAAAACAATTTCATTTGCAATAGCATCAAAAAAAATACTTAAGAGTAAGGAATAAATTTAACAAGTGCTACAGTTCTGAAAACTACATGGCATTGTTGAAAGAAAGAAAACATATAGAAGTTAAAGGACATACCATGTTCATGGATTGGAAGACTTAATATTGTTAAGATAGCACTGCTTCCCAAATTGATCTATAGAGTCAATGAAATATCTATCGGACGTGGTTTTTTGCACAAATTGATAAGCTGATTCTAAAATTCTTATGAAAATGCATGGAGCCCAGAATAATCAAAACAGTCTTGAAATAAGAGAACAAAGTTGGAAGACTCACACTACCCAACTTGAAGTTACTACAAAGCTACAGTAATCAAGACACTGTGGTCCTGGCAGAAAGGTAGGTAAGTAACGTAGAACTGAGCCCAGAAATAAACGTTCACATTTATGGTCAATTGATTATCCTGAAGAAGAGTGCCAAGATGATTCTACACAGAAAGAATAGTCTTTTCCAAAACAAAATGGTGCTAGAATGTGGAAAACAAGGAAGTTGGATCTTTACCTAACACCATAATTAAAGTTTAACACAAAGTAGATCAAAGGCCTAAAAATAGGTGCTGAAACAAAACTCTTAGAAGAAAATGTAGGCATAAACCTTTATCACCTTGGATTAGGCAGTGGTTTCTTAGTTTTGACACCAAGCACACAAGAAGCAAGAGAAAAGTACATTGGACTTCATTAAAATTAAAAACATGAGTACATCAAAGGATGTCACCAAGAGAATGAAAAGAATCTGTAGACTGGGAAGATTGCCAAATCACGTAGATGATAAGGGAACTGAATCCAGATACATGAAGAACTCTTACAGCTCGTCAGTAAAGATAATATGTTAAACTGAGCAGAGACTTAGACATTTCTCCACGTAAGTTAAATGTCTAATAAGCACATGAAAAGATTTCAGCAGCATTAGTCATTAGAGAAATGCAAACAAAACCGCCCAGAGACACCCTTTCACACCCACTGGGGGGCTAGAATCAAAAACAGAAGTGTTGGTGATTGTGAGCGAGTGAAGACACGAACCCTCACAGTCTCGGAATATGAGACACTACAACACGATGGACCTCAGTAAAAGGGGCCGGACACAAAAGGCCACACACTGTATGATCCCATTTATACGAAATAGCCAGAACAGTCAAATCTACAGAGACCTACAGTGTCTGCGTGTCTGCCTGGGCTGCGAGGGAAGGAGTGCGGGGTTCCTTTGGGGGTGATGACAGTGTTCTAAAGTTAGACTGAGGGCATAGTTGCAAAACACTGTGAATGTGCTAAAACCTAAGGATTGGGCATTTTAAAAGGGTGAGCTTAATGTCGATGACGTGTCCTTAAAATAAAGAACAGTATAAAAGAACATACGCATATCTACCCATTTCTGAAAGACAAAAAAAATGCAATAGACATAAACCAGAAACCATCACCTGTAGGGAATAGGTGGGGACAGGGTGGGAGAAGGGGAGGGGAGCAGCCGTGTGATGAGGGGAAAGGGATGTTCCTTTGATGACACCTGTCTGTGTAGCTCCGACCCTCGGAACCAGGCCGACAATGTCTGCGTACACACGTGTGCCCGTGCATACAGGCAGAGCAGTGCAAGCAGGTGCACGGAAACTGAAGTGCACTGTACACGATTAACAATGACAACAGATGCTGGAGAAGAGCTAACTGAAGTGACTGTGGAAAACAGCATTTTGATTCTGATTTTCTGTAAGACTAATGACAAAAATAGCTTCACACAAATATGGTCAGTCTAGTTAAGACACTTGTTTTTCAAAAGGTTATAAACTAGTAATTGTGAAACTACTTTATCTGTGTTCTAGAATTGGGCAGAATAAGTAAATACATTGTAGGTAATGCGAGTCCCAGTTCCTCCCTGTCCTGGAAAACAAGTTACAAATAAGGAAGGAGGGGAGGTTGGCATGAACCCTGCTGTGCTGGGCTGGAATTGGAAATGTCCATGTGAATTTGTGATTTTAAGTAGATATAGAAATGCATAGACACAGAAATAGAGATGTGGGTTAGAGATACATGCTTAGGTTTCTTAGGTCTCTTCCTTAGAAGATCTAGAAGCAGTGATCCTCACAGGAATGAAATCTAGCGTCCAGATCCCGGTTTCCAAATGTCGTTCTCCACCAATAAATTAGAAGGAGAGACAGAGAGAGAGGAAAGAAAGAAGGAAAGAAAGAATGAATGAAAGAAAGAGAAAAGAAAAGAAAGAAGGAAAGAAAGAGAAAAGAAAGAAGGAAAGAAAGAGGAAGGAAGGAAGGAAGGAAGGAAGGAAGGAAGGAAGGAAGGAAGGAAGGAAGGAAGGGCTTCCAGAGTTGAGGCAGGAGAGAGATGGGCCTGGAAAATCTAATTGTGCCACAGAGTAAGGAGGTGATCAGAACCGAAGGGAGCACGTGGGGAGGGGAGCCGGGACCCAAACGGGTTCCCAGTGGGCAAAGCTGGGACAGTTTGAGTTACAAAATAATAGTCTTATTTTATAACCCATGGA